TCCTCTCATATCCGCAGTCTCTTCTGTCTAATTTCTCTTTGTACGCCCGGTTCGTCCATATTTCTGTTCGCGACAGAAACTAAGAGTAGCGATTAAAAGCTGCATCTCCTTCCGTTGAAGGCTTGCCCTGAAAAAATGAATATCAATTTCCATGATTTTCACCTCTTCGTTCTCGTCTAACGCGTTTCAACCGATATACCGACATATGTATTGCCCAATTAGTGCGTTCAAAGGCCGATTGGCGACGCGCTGGTAGGATCAAGACGGATTTCGGGAGGGGAGTGCACGAACTATACGTCCAGTAAGGATTTACGTACAGTCACACTTGACCACTACAAAGTGACGTTCGTAGTATATTCAGTTTGTGTGATTCAACGGACGCACAAATTAGAATTACACACGCATAAAGATTAGATCCATTTAGCAATTATGTATTCACCGTAGAAGTGTCGTTTCTTTCCACTTAACCATGCTCCCAGTACAGATAATATAAAATGCATTAAAAGGATACATCCGTGGTGTCGTGTAATCTGTCTGTTTATCCGTCGATGAAAAGGGAAATGTTCACAGTGGTGCAGTCGTTCATTTACTCTTTCGATCGTATCTCTTATTAGCCGGTTTTAAGATAGATCTAGAGAGACCGTTATTGTTTTTCATTAGCATAACTGGTATTAATGTCAGTGATGTCTCGTCAAGGTTTCGATTACGAAAATTGACTCGACGGTGATCGGGACCAGTTCCGACGTAACACCGTTCTCGTTTCCACGCGTGAAAAGATCGTTCAGCTGTTTACGGGAACTGTCCCTGTTAGAAATCTGTTCGTGGTGTTTTTCGTTGTTTTCCGTTCTGGTTGATTCGCGGCCGGTTTTTTCTCGCCGAGCGTCGTCGCTCGCTGTGAATTAGCCCGAGCCACTTTCGACCGGTATATGTATGTAATTCTACCGGGACAGTGGCGCGGACGTTAACGGAGGAACACTTAAACAATTTGTAAAAAGCGATGCGCCGCGCAACGCGGGGACGTGTGAATGCAATACATTACGGTCGTGCAATTGCTGTTCCAGTTACGTCACGAATGCTACTCGACGGCGTTATTCATGAATACCAACGTAAACTCATTTTGAGAACATTGAAAAATAACTCCGGATGGGTGAGCGGCAAAAACGTTTCGCGATTAAGAGACGTCATGTTGAGCATGGAAAATGGATTATATGTTCGTTAGGTGAACCACACGTTTCCTCGCGGATTTGCCGTTGATATGTCAATCATTAAGCATCGGCGAGGAACATTTCGTTGCATTTTTATTCGGTATCCAAGAATTCCGGTAAAATAATTCCCGTAATAAGAATAATACGGATAAAAAAATTTGTATTTGGCGCCAAAATTGGTTCATCGGAATAAAATTGAGAAGCATTTTTCGTGTTAAATAAAATTACCACGATCGAGAGATACTCTTAAGGGGAGACTGAGAGGTTTATTTCACCGATGTTAAATTAGCCAGATTTATAGAATTTTCTCTCAAAAACCGTGAGAGATAACGAAACGAAATTTTAGTCACGTAGATATAGGTTAGAATTTAAAAATATCACTTCGAACTAAAGATACAATTTTTCAAAGAACGAAATATTATAAACAAATTTCCTGTTCGTCTGATTTAGAATAAATCTTGTCATTTTTCTCGAAAAGTGTTTCTTTTAATTCACCAAAAATACCAAGTTTCCAACAAACGAAATTATTCGAAAAATGTCCATTTCGTAGAGAAACGCCGCGTTATTTCCATACTTTAATTTAGTTTTATTAAGATTCGGGATGAGGAATCTCCAATGCACAACGTCGAGGCGTGCTACGAAAATTTCGCCCTCTCTCTCTAAAACCTTTTGTCCGTTTCCATTGTATGTATATATATCTCATTTTCGAGCGCGCGACTTACGTGAACCGCATTGTTTACAGTTGACACAACGTGAAACGGTGAGAGGAAGAAAAGAGCACGCTGCACGACGCCCGCTGCCGAGAAATCTGGACTCCGAGCGGTGCTCGAGAAGAATCTCGAAACGTCGTAGATACGAAATCCCGCGCGGTCCAACACAATAAGTTCCAGTAGAAGAAAAAAAAGAAAAAAAGAAACGAGACGAGAAAGAAAAAAACGGACCACCAGATATCACGAGATACATGGTTTGACACAATTTCACGTACGTGTGCTGATCGTTCGTCGCAGATTCTGCAGTTTATTACAAATCGAAAGAAACGAGATCGAGCACTGAACTCCTCTATCTTCAACTCTACTATATATATATATATTTCTTTCTTCACTAGGGTCATCGAGTTATTACAGATTCCTTATTTATCGGCCAGTGACATCAACTTACATCTGATGCAAGAAAAGAAATCAAGTCCCTTAAAATTTCACTGGAACGAGCAAACGTGATCTAATTAATACGATCAACTATTCAAGGAAATCTGCACGTCGTCGTTAGGCGAATGTTTAAATTTTAATTCGAAAAATAGAAAAAAGGGGAAGCTTAAACAGCTCTTCGAGATTTGTAAACGTCGCTGCTCGACGGTGGAGTATACTACAGTCGAGTGTATCTAAAACGGTAGTTAGAAAAACAGAGAGGAAGGAGAGAAAAGGCGACGAAACTAGAAGAAGAAAAATAGGGAATCAAGGTACAACAGATATACACAAGTTGTGAAGTAATCACGTGAAAACAGAGCGAGAATATTCATGGAAAAACAGTAAGAGGGAACCAGCTAACTTCCAAAAAGGAGATCTCCCTTTATCATTGAAAGCAGCTCGCAGGAGCAGGGGGAGGAGACACGCGAGAAAGATAGGAGACAACGACGACGGTTTCGCTCTTACATGCAAATACACCCGAGCGTTTCTCAGCAAACTTGAGGGATGAAAAGTTTCATAGGACACGTATACGTATATGCGCCTGTGAACGCTTAATTGACAATTAAAGCGGCGAAGAAAGCTAGAGAGAGAGAGAGGAGAGAGGAGAGACTGAGCGTTTTCTCTCCCGTTTGAAATAACCGCAACGCGGCGGCGGCGGCTCGTAGGAGGAGCGAAAACAATTTCTTCTTCTCAAGTACGTGCGCACACGGGGACAGAGGACGGGTTGAAAAATTCAATTGGTTGGCTTGAAATCACGTCCCTTGATAAAAAATCGCTGGAAAGGAATTTTCCGTTCGGACCTTCGAAACGAGAGAAAAGAGTCTCCATCTTTCCCTCTCCCCTTTTTCTTCTCCTCCAACTTCTGAAAGAATAACCAGCCTCAGCTATTCCGATATTCGAGTGGAACCCACCTGAAATTTATAATTGATAGACCATCCGATTCTCTCCCTCCGCTCTTTTTCCTCGAGAGAAGAGCAATTCTCTCTATCTGCCACGGGAGGAACGTTTGAAGGGACCAAGAGCAACCGATCAATCATTCAGACACTTGTTACGCTGTTCGTCAAGGGAGGGGGAGAGAAATAGGTAGTCGATGAAAACGATCGAAAGGAAAGCGACGAGAAACGATTAGAAGCTGAGTTGAAGAAGAAAAAAGAGAGAGAGGAGCTGTTGGTGATAACCTCGTGATAATTTACCGTGAAGAAATTAGTAGTAACGATAGAGAAGTAACGCTGAAAGAATAGAAGAAACGGATCGATTGGAATTGTACACGAGAGGAAATTTCAAAGTTCACATAGAGACAAATATCATAGAGGAATTAGCACCCCCGTTCGCGTAACACTGATAAAGAAGAAACTTACTATAGGCGGTGGGAGTAACAGTGGACAAATAGTAGAGAAAGAAACGTGTACACGTTACTCGAGAGGAAATTTCAAATTTGATAGAGATAAAGGATCCGAGCAATTACCACTTTGTTCGCGTAACATTGATAAAGAAGAAACTTCTACTATAACAGTAGACGAAGAAACGGACCATTACATCAATTTTCCATTCAACTCTCGGTATACTCGAGAGGAAACTTCAAATTAAGAAAAATTATCCGACCAATTATCAACTTCGTTCACGTTCACACCGCTAACAAGGAAGAAACTTTAAATCGTAGAAAAAAATTTCTAACCTAACCTAAAACCAATTACTACACTTCGATTCCCCTTCCAACTGGTGTAATACTTACGAAAGAAGATATAGGACAAGACAAGATATAACCTAACTTCGACCTGAGGATCTTGAAGAAAAAGAAATAATACTTAAACTAGCAAACGTGAGCAAAGGAGTGTTTAAGTGAAACTTAAGCGAGTAACAAGTCGTGGCGACTTTAACAAGGCGGAAAATTCGTGTAAAGGAGGGGAGGCTGTTTTTCTTTCAAAACGGTGAGAAGGAAGGTACGAAACACGGCGAACCACTACGGTATCCACTACACGGGCTCGTACGCTTATAGCAACGGAGCACCGAGCGTGTACAGTAGTTATCCAGCGAACGGTGGCTTCGTGCAGCCCCATCTCCATGAGGACTACCGGCCGATTTACTTTTACGTAGCCCAGCCGTACACTATCCCGTATACGTTCGCAAAGAGGCCGAGACCGTCGTCGCTACTGAGGCCTGGCAAACCTCGGAGCAACTGCCGCGTTAAGTTCTCAAAGAGGTTAGGAAACGGTGATTTCTCGCAGAAGGTGAAACAGGGCGAGTTCTCGAGGAGCCTCAGCCAGGTGCATTTTGTCGAGAGTCAGGGGCAAGGTATGTGTGTCCGCTGTTTCTTTTTTCATTTTTAACCCTTTCACTGCTAAAAACGTATACATATATGTAGTATCGGGGCCTCCGTACCTAAAAAATAGGAAACCGACACGGGAGAATGGAGAAGTAGTGGTTGGCGTAGCGCGCAAAGCCTTGGCTTGCTAAGTCGAAGGTCCCGGGTTCGATTCCTGTTGGGGGGGGTCCCTCAATATTTTTCCGTCGTTGGTTCCTACATACAGTAGTGCACACACATAAGCGTCCGCATTTTTACACACTTAAGCGTTTGTCGCTATCCCCACCAATTCTTGGAAATGGGACATCGGAGTGGAGTTCGAGCGTGCCGAGTGAAACAAAGTAATTCGATATCGACTCCTGAATGTGAACAAGTGACACCTGATATATCGGTATCATCCCACTCAGGCACTTCTCCTCCTCTCTTTGGTTTAGTTAAGTTCGCGAAAGTCATCTCCCCACTTAAGTGTGCACTACTGTATATATGTACACTCTCACAGATCCATCGATGTATAACTGGTGTTAACAGTAGGGCCTCTCTTGTTAGATAACGCATAGTATTCGAATGAACATCGACAACAATTTCGATATTGTCGTGTGCTTGCAATGTATTTATTTTTCTTGGAACTATAGAGCCGCATAATCTGATGGTTCTGAGTTGGAGCACGCCGCAGTCGAAGGGTTAAGCGACGTTTAAAACACTTCGATGCGTGTACATTTAGTTCAGTTAGTACTCTCGCCTGCCGCTTGGCGTCGCTCGCGTAGACCTCTAAGGGGAAGCCCAGTTTGAAAGTTTCGAAATGTAAATTTTTTTTTTT